TATGTCCTCCTTAGACTAGATTTCTTGCTTTATTTCCTTATTTAAAAACTTTGTGCGTTCATTCTTTTTCTTTGGTTTTTCCCTTCTTTTTTATTTTTTAATTACTAAAAACTGAGATTTTTTTTTATATTCTTTTCAGATTTTAGGTATTCTTATGAATATGAACGAGTCTTTGACTCTATCCAAAAATTTGGATATTCATTGACTCAATGGACCCAAAAATTTGGATATTTATCGATTCAACGAGTTTTTGAAGTCCATTAATTGAAATAATTTCCACACCTATTAACGCTTTCATACTCGTATCCAAATTAAGACTAAGAGTAGGCATTTTTATTTTGTCATACTTTTGTAATGACATTCATTATTTTAATTATTCTAGTTTTTATATGAAGAGAAACATAAATTAGTGGGAAAATAAAACATGTTTATATTATATCAAGTCCTATTTAAATTAACCCTAATATTTATAGAAAGTTTTTATTTTATTTAGATACTCTTGATACTCACAAAAAAAAAAAAAAAAAAGAAGGAGGGAAGAAAACGAAGAATTTATTAACACAATTTAAGACTATTCAAACTTAGCTAGGGCATCCATATTTAACCAAGTACAAATCAAGTAAGTAGCAAGCCTAACTTTCTTATTTATTTTCTTTTGTTGTTCTAAGATGTGAAAATCACTTATTATATTGTTTGATCTTAATTAAATTTTGCTCATATTTGGTACAGATTCTTTAAAATTCTTTTTTCTTTAAATTTATTTTCAATCAAACATTCTTCAATAAAATAATTTTATACATGAATGTTGACTAAGTAATGATATATTGAAAAAATATTGACCTAAAAGCGAAATACCTCAATGTTTTACTAAAGAAATTCGTACAATTAATGTCTTTATTAGCTAATATTTTTCCCATAATGATATGTAGTTATTTCGTAACAGTTGATTGATGCCATCTTAGGTAATTTTGCAGCATTGGAAGCCTAGGAAGGAATTTTAACGAAGAAGGTGTCGAGAATGTGACCTTAAGAAATTCAGTTTTCAATGGATCCGATAATGGGCTCCGCATAAAAACATGGGCCAGGCCCAGCAATGGGTTTGTCCGAAATATACACTATCAAAACATCACTATGAACAATGTGGGGAATCCTATAATCATCGACCAAAATTATTGTCCTAACAACCAAAGTTGTCCTGCTCAGGTAACATTTCATCACATAAACTTTGAAACATGAGATTTAATGAGCAGTGAAGTTTATTTTATGACATTAACAGAGTTCGGGAATCGAGATTGAGAAAGTTTGGTATGAAAATATACAAGGAACATCGACAACAGAAGTGGCCATGATTTTCGATTGTAGTCCAAGTAATCCCTGCAGAGGGATCAAGCTGCAAGACGTTAACCTCACTTATATGAACAGGACCAAGGCACTATCAGTTTGCAATAATATTGGAGACGACGCTATCTTGCCGGATACATGTTTGTAAATAAATTAAAAATATATATAGATACATACATACATACATACATACATACATAATTTATAGTTTAAATGTGCGACCCTCCTAAGGAGTGAGTTTGGAAATCAAGTCCTATTGGACTTGTTTTATGCAACTGTAATGTTAGGAATATAATCTATTAAGAAGGGTTAGTTTCTGAATATATACTACGTTTTCTTAATTCCAGGTATTTCATGAATCAATGGGTAACCACCATATGTTGTTATCGTGTTTTATCTTTATTTCACGATACCAGGGGTGAGATTTAGGCTCTTGCCCAATAACATGACCCGATCCGCCTCGGCCCAATGGTAGATAAAACGTGTTTTTGGCGTGGCATATTTTAATGCAACCAAACACGCCTTCTTCAGTTATATTGGATGCCTCCTGACCGTCGGATTAAAACTGGATCTAAGGCTGCCTTTGTTGGATATAAATACTTGGCCCCTTTGCCCTAATTTACTTGGACCGTCATTTTCTCTTCTCTCCAGCTGCGGCTGAGGTTCGAGAGTCTTCCAAACCCTCTCTTCTTCTTCGTGAGAATCCAATCTCTGATTGGATTTGGTTTCTGTGTGATTCCGTCTTTGTGATACATAATACTGTGTGTATTGGAGAGTTTGGTGTGTGATTTTACCCCTTGTGGTTTCCTTTAACTGATAGAAGAAAACCTTAGGGTTTGGGGCAATCGGTGTGGGTCATACAGAAGGGTACAATCCTGTATTTTCTTGAGTTTGAGCCATATTGTTGAAAGGAACTTCATCTGGTGCCGTGTGGTTCGAGTTCTCTGTGAACGACTGGAGGATTTCATTTTCTGCCTTATTTTTCTTGTAATTTTTCTTGTTTATTTCTGATTTTGTACTGATAGTTTAATGTAACATTTAACATGCGCTCACACATGATTGTGGCTCATTTGACCATATCTATCTTCAAATTCATGTGCTCATTTAAATCTTAATTGGGCCAAACAACTCATTTGAATTTAGTGAAATCTGATACCACAATCCAAAGGCTTCTTGTAATAGTTTTGGTTTATCTTCAAAGCAATAAAACAAGAATAATTCCTCAAAAGCATTCTTTGAAAATTTCTCATAATATCAGTGTAGGTTTAATCCAACTTTGGGAGCTTTTGCTTCTAGCGAGCGCCTCGTGCCACTCATTTGGCCAAGTTTTCCTTCTCTCTCTTTGGTTTCTTTTAAATATTTTTCTCCCATCAATGGGTTGTTCTTGAAAGTTGAAAGAATTGTTATTAAACATTTGTTGGATTTTGGAACTGCACTCAAATTCTCCAGTGAAGGGAGAACCTCCTGTGACTAGTACACTGTCCAACAATTATTTTGTAAAAATTTCTGTAACAAATCATGTTGTTAATAAAAAAAAAAAATCTGAGTTCCAATACTCTCTGGCGTTCATCCCACACCATCTTTTTCCTATTAATGCTCCATTTCACTTCATTTTACTTTGTATACTTTAAAGTTGGGATTTTCACGTGGAAACACAATATATGTGTTAGAAATTGAGTCAATTATTATGAATATTAAAGACGAGATATAGGCAGTATGAAAATAACAGTTACAAGAATACAAGATTTACATGAAAATTTAAGACGGAAAAGACTATCATTAGAGACGGAGAATTCATTAATAATCAATAATGGATGATTACAAAAGATCTCTCTAGACCAAACTAATAAGTTGGACAATTGATCAATCTCGATATGCAGTTTACACCACAAATTTATAATCAAAGAATCTTTAAAATACTAGGAGAATATAATACAAGTAAGAGTCAGATATAAGGTGAAGTCTTATTACAATAGATAACATCAATAATGGAGTATTTGAGTTGAAATAGGGGAGAGACATTATCAAAATCAAGAAACCTTTTCCTTGTCATCTTTTACTTCTTCAGGACTTCTCCAATACAAACAATTAACTCCAAATATACATTTAATATAGATTTCAAATCACACCAAAATTCTAACAAATTTAACCTGGACACGAATTTCACTGTAATTAATAAAGCTTAAAAAATCCTCCACATGACAACAAATTTCATCATAAGGATTAAAACTTAACTCCTCAACAAAAATCTCGCAACAAAACACTTTAAACAAATTACTCCACCTCTTCCACAAAGCCTAACTAGAACTGTCGAGTTTGTCTTAGTCATTAATCTCAAATACAACTTATTAATCTCATAAGCAAATTTTGACTTTTTTAAAAACCCTAACAGATGGACCATAACAATCAATATTTTCTATGCCATTGACTTGTAATCAAAATTGGCATTTTAAATAAATAATAAAATAAGTGGAAATTACCAAAATAGTCAATTTTTGGCTTTACATTTACAAAAATGTCACATTTTTTAAGTCTTTGCAAGATTGTTAATATTGAACAATTTTGGACATTTGTGCCCCTTTAGATAATTCAAATTATTGCTTTTTGATCTCTCTCTCATCACTTAAATATATCTCTTTGGACGATCGAAGGATTCGAAGCCCTCACTCAGAAATTCCTATATGTAAGAAGAAGAAGAAGAAGAAGAAGAAGAAGAAGAAGAAATCTGTAAAAGCCGCTTCTGGCGATGGTTAGCGCCATGGGGGTGTTGGTGCTTCTTAATGTTTTTCTTCAATATAATGACAACTGCCACACATTTTATGCAACGTGGTTTAACCGCAAGTGTACGGTATCAAATTTTGTAATATAGTATTGAAATAAGAGTGTCGAACCCACAAGGATTGTATTTAATTTTCACTAAGTACTATAATTATGCAATTTCTACTTTATTTAGATGAATGTATGATTGAATTGGTGTTTTATGAATGAACGATTTAAACTTAACTAACGTGATTAGATGTGACAAATTTGGGGAATACAAATTATCAAATGAGAAGGCCTAAGAATTGATTTCACCTAACTTTCAATTATGATTCAATGAATTCAAATTATTTTAATTAATTTTTCCATATTTAAAAACAAGAATCCTAATGTATTTTTAACCCTCTCTCTCTCTCTCTCGAACACCGATTAGAAATTAACCCTAGATCTCAATTCTAACATCTCTGTTCAAAATTAAAAATCAAGAATTTAATAAATATCCAATTCTTTTATGGAGTAAGCTTCACTGATTTATGCTTTCTCTCAAAACCTATAAATTCTATGTTGTATCACTCTTATGATCATGCATAAATTCCCACTCTCTTGAGCGCCGAAATTGACTAGCATCAAATCATCCAATTGTAGATCAGGCAATTGAAAGCATTAAAACCATGATACAATTAAATATATGCGGGAAAATCAAAGAAATAATTATAAAATCATCAAACCATAATCTTGATTCGGCTACATCAAACCCCTAGATAAATTGTTTAATTCATGGTATAATAAATAAAAATCATACAAATTATAATAAACAACATAAGGAAAATGATAGAAAAAACTAGTATTTTGGGTAGATATTCAATCTTCTCCCTGATTTTGTTCCTCCTTCCTTTTGATGTCTTCAATTTTTGCCTCCTTCAAATTATGCGGTTGAATTCTTCAATCTTGCCCCCCTTCCATCCTTGTGTTTGGTCCCTTCCATCCTTTTTGAAAATAGGATTTTTGAATGGTACTTATAGTATATTAGGGGTCTTGGACGAAATAGGGTTGAATTTGGCCAATAAAAGAGTCCAAAAACATAAAAACGCGTTCTCCCGCATATCCGGCACCTCGGCGCCAAATATGGGCCCTGCGGCGCTGCCTATTCTGTTAATATTCAGTCATATGAGCGCTGCGGCGCTCGGTTCGGTCGAAATGACAGACTGCACATCTTTCAGTATTTTTAGCATAACTTTTGTATCCGATGTCCAAGTGAGGTGATTCAAGATGAATTCGAAAGCTAACTCAAAGGACTACAAATTTTCTTTAGGCATCATTCATCAACTTGATCGTTTGCTATGATAGAAATGGGTCTCAATATGAGACTGAAACTCCGAGGCATAACTTTTCGGTTGGAAATTGATTTGTGATCATATTTTGACTAAATTTGATCCCTTTGACATCTTTTTTCATCCAATTGACTCATAACACTCTCGGATCTTCATTGCGAGGTTCAACGCAACTTTTCAATATTTGCACTTTAGTCCCCGAACTTTGGATCTCTTACAATTTGGTCATTTTCTCCAATTTCGCTAACTTTTGCTTATTTCTTTCAATTTCATCAACCTACATCACAACATCAAAACACACATTAAAAAGCTCTAAAAACACTCTCAAGAGTAGCAAAATAACAAATTAGATTGCATAAATATCATGAGTGTAAAGCACTCATCAACAACCTTATTTTAGCCAGTGAGACCGTTCAATGTTTGGTAGACTTTAGGAAATTAGTTGGGAAATTCTGGAATGTTAATTTTGTGGATTTTATTAGCTCCTTTTGTTGGATTTGAATCAATCTTTGGTCAATTGTAGTGTCTGAAAGATAGGGTTGCTTATATTTGTTTTCTTTAATTCCAAATGGCAAAACTAATGTGGCAAAATGGAAATATGGTAAATATATATAGCTAAAAATATTCACTGGACTCTGGATCTTCTGGCCAAGAATATAGCTCAAAAAGATTCCCTGGGATCTCAATCTAGTAGCCAACAATCTTACTGTAAAATGAGTTATGGGTGGCAATTTGATCATTCTAGCTCGTAGCCAATTTTGGTTTGTAGGAAATGTAACGACCATATGTAAAATATAACATGTAATGGAAGTGAATAATTAGTCATTGTCATGATTTTTGCTGACTGTGTATTTATAGCTCCATTTTATTGGCTTCCACTTCTTGGACAACATATCTTCTGATAAAGGTTTTTATTATTACTTCATGCATGTGTGCACTCATATGATAGTGCAAGGTTGTTCGGATATGTCCAAGTGTGGGTAATTCCATTTTCATTCTACAAAATGTTATTGCATTGCTTAGAAATGGTGTTGTAGATGTCGAACTTCTATGTCTCATGTGTACATTTCAGCAGATTGCTGAAGTGTGCAGACTACTTGAACTGTCATTTCCGACGGTTCAACTTTGCCAATCTTGACAAATGGACAGAATCTAAGGCATATGTCAAGATTAACCGTCGATATCGACAGATGAATTGTCCATACCGACGATTGATGTCAGTTTTTCTCAACAATTCACCTCTCTACAAGCATGAGTTCGATTCATT